GTAAGGGGGCTGGAGCCTGTAGCTGAGACTCATGGTTGGTTCTCTGCTTCTGCAAATACACACAACCTGTGGGCTCATTTCTCTGATAGTTCTTCCCATTGGGGAAAAAGAACCCTCCAATTTGTGTGTGTGTGTGCATATGCATGCATGTGTGCGTCCCATTTCTGTTCTGAAATGCTCAGGAAAAAAGGTCTTGGCAGCCGAGATGCATTTTTGTTTCAAGATAAAAGCAAACAGACATTAGAGCTGACATGTTTCTCTTGCCTGTGATTAATACACACCGTCTGCCTTTCAGCTTTTCTCATGTCTGTTGCCCTCTTTTCATTAGTCTGTTGGGAACTGAGCTTCATCTTGATGAATCTCCTCTGCAGTGAATCTGATAAAACGGCCTGAAGAGCAGCACAGGCATTAACAGAGTATGACTTTCTCTCCTCGGTCAGGATGCTGCCCATGACCTTTGGGGCAAAGCCAGTTGGCTCATCAAGGCCCAACTTCCCCGGCTCCTTGCCTAGGGGCTCCTGTTACTGGTTATAGCTGGGAGAGGGTCCCTCTCCAAAAAACCCCACTCTCTTCTTTCTCCACTGGGGCAGCAGGAGTGCTCCCCTTTCTCTACTGTACTTCTGTCCTCCTCCACCTGAATTTATAAAGGACCTGGACTTGTATATGGAGAGAAAACATGGAGCCATCCTCCCTCATTGTAGCATCTAAACTTTTCAAACCCCATGAATTCATGGAGGTTAAGTGATCTCTGCTATTCCATTTACTTCGGCATGTATAGAGCACACGCTGTGGCCGAGGTGCCTTGCTAGACACCCAGGGTGTAGCGGTAGATACGTTTCTCTTCTCGCTTTGAGGAGGGGCCTGGGGCAGCAGAGGAGGCCAGAGCCAGGCAGCCATACTAGCCTTACACAAGCACGTTTTCTAGTGTTCTAGTCACCCCGTCTGGTGCCTGGAAAATGAGGACGGCGGTTCCTTTTCACTCAACGGAAAGTTTTCATGGAGTGGGCCCTGATTCTGGACATGTGGCACCTCAGCATCCAGAGGTACCAGCTCCCCGCTGCTCCTCAAGATGGGAGGAACTGCTGGTACTGGGACATGATTTTCTCTGGTGTTTCTGGCTAACATAAATGGCTGTTATGTCCTGCCCAGTGCCACACTGCGTGTGTCCCACCTGTATCTAGGACTTCAATGAACACTCCCCCTTATTCACTCACTCTACCTGATGTCATGGCTGGATCTGTGTCCTTACCCTCAGTTCACGGTGTGTCCCTGTCCTGCCTGCCAATAACAAAACCCACCTGCTCCCGGAACTACTGAAGGCCTCTCCATCCTCTTTCTGCCACCTCCATGGGAGCTTTTGTCCCACGGGAGCCTTTGTAATAAGTGACTAACCTCAGGGAAACATATAACATTGCCTTAAGGTCATGGGCGAGAAATGTTTCATGAGAGAACTCACAAAGAGGCCGGCTTGTGAACAGAGGCTCTCCTGGATCTAAGTGACATGAAGGAATGCTTTACCTTCCCCTCTTGTGTCTGGCTGAGTCTCCCCTCTCTCTCCCCCCAGCACACAACTGGTCAGCCCCATTTGTCCTTGTTAGTATATTCTAATCTATGAGAGATGAGTTAATCCCGATAGGATCTCTGTGGTCTTAGGACACTGGACATTTAATTAGATCTTTTCCAAGCTGGATTGGAGAAACAGAGGTGTCCTGGGGAAAAGGGGTGGCATTTGGGAGGTATCAGCAAGGAGATGGCTGAGAGGACCAGGAATGAGTCTGATCAGGAGGGGATGGGGGTTCATAGGAGTTAAACAGTAGATGCTGGGTCTCTGAGGTCATGTATCTGGGCTCCTTCCCAGCCCGTTTCTCTCTGTGCTTCCACCCCAAGGCCCAGCACCCCATTCTCTGATTCCCAAAAATCCATACATGAAGACAGATTCAGTATTCCAGAGCTAGGTGTAAATGACTAATAGGGCACCAACTAGTTTCTTCCAAAGGTTTGTGGACCTTCACAGTTTAAGCCTAATCTAGAAACTAAATCAATAAAAGATGGACCTCAGGGATCCAGTTGATGGGGGAAAAGGGCATTGGTGGAGCCTGGCACCTTTGTAGGTCTTAGAAATTTGAGGGCCAAGACATTATTTGTAGGGAAGGCTGTAGGTTTGTTTTGGGGTTTTGTTTTCTACTTTCAGTAGCATCCAGAGTGAGTTACTGCCCTTCCAAGAAAAGCCATTCATTCCCCATCCAATTTAGTGGCTGCATGTGACACCGTATGGCCCTGTCTCATTACAAATGGAGCCATGCTACAATCACCTGGCTGTGTCCTTAACTGACCTGGCTCCACTCCTGCCAGGCCCTGGGTCACTCCACCAGTGTACTGCAGTTTAATTGTTTCCCCTTAAAATACAGATGTGGAGGAGGCCACTCAGCTTATAGGACCCTGGAAGGTGGCCTCCCTATGGCTGGGTGGCCTTGTTGCAGCTTCTCCTGGGCTGTCTTTCTCCAGGGTGAGTGGGGCCAGACCAGCAGGGAGTGGTTCGTGCCCTAAGAGAGGAGCGGAATTGGGACTAGGACCAGGGTTCCCTGAAACCACTGACTCAGAGAGAGTGGATTAGAGCCTGGAGGGCCCAGGAGAGAGGTGGGGCAGTCTGCTTCAGCATTCTCATCAGTACACAATTTTTTTAAAAAAAATCTTGTTAATAGTCATTGGCTCACGATGGCAGCTTTAATCTTTCTTCTCATCCTCTGGATCAGTGGTTCTGAAGCCTTAGCGTGCATCGGAATCAGAGAGCTCCTTAACATACAGGTGCCAGACACCACCCCAGTTTCTGGTTCAGCGGATCTTGGGTAGGGCCCAGGAATTTGTATTTCTCATTGATCCCAGGTGATGCTACTGCCTTGGCCTAAGGACACCTTGAGAGCCTGGATTCCATAGCATGGGGTGTGAACCTGCAGTAGGTCCTCACAACTCAGCCATTTTTCCTTCTTCAGCTCTAACCTGGGACCTCTGAACCCCAGGCTGTTCCATCTAGGCTGTAGATCTAGGCTCATGCTGGCTCCTGGACCTGGGTTACCCTTCCTAACTTCCAATGTCTGGCTGCCTGCTGTTTCTACATATGAACTTCCTTTGGCTGGTTTCACTGAATCTCAGCCCTTGGCCATGCTATTTCTGCCTTGTAGGCAGGTTGACTGGCTTCCATCTACAGGCGAGCTGAATCAGCTTGAAATGGAATTAAGAAAAACCACTACAATATTGTAAAGTAATTAGCCTCTAACTAATATAAATAAATGAAAAAAAAAAAGAAAAGAATCATGTAGGATAAGACTGCCTACATCCCTAGAAAGTTCTCCACTTGGCCTCAGCAACATGTGGCAGGGTTCCCACCTGCCTCCTGACACAGTTGGAGAACTGCCAAAGCAAGCTATTCCCCTCTCCCAATCCCAACTTATGTCCCCACCATCCGGACTGCTCGTGGACAGCCTCCAACAGGGCAGAGGAAACATCCCAGCAGCTCGGAAGATCCTCACGGGTAGGACCACCACTCATCCATCCTCCCTTCCCCATTCCTGGCACAGGGCCTGGCACGCCACAGGGGCTGAGCAAGGCTTTTCTGAATTACATTGAACAGAGCGGCAAACACAGAATCCCATCTGTTCACTCATGGCATACAGGGGGTGTCTGATTGCTTTCTGGGGTGCTCATGAAGGTAACATCTTCTATCTCTTTTCGTCTCCCTGGAAGAGTCAAGTTTGGCTTCTAACCCACTTGTTACCAAGCCAACTCTTCTTTTTGGTTGGCGCCCCAAGAAAAACCAGAACAAGATCTATAAAGCAGGTACAGAATGAATTTATAAAGTAAAGCAAATAAGGGCAGGGAAATGAAGGTGCTGGAGTAGATTTCAAAACTTTCATTACTCATTGCCTTTGCCCACAGCTGGACAACAGAAAGTGGTTACATGAAAATTAAATTGTGCCCAGGGCTTTGGCTTGTCAGCCTCGATAAATGTCTGATGCCAATGGAGAATGCTGTAGCATCCTGAGCCTGCCAGGGTGCATCACAGGAGGCTTGGGGGGTCCCCCAAAGGCCTCAGGATGGTCTTCCCTGAAAAGCATCTACATTGTACTGGTACATTTTTTTTACCAAAGGATTAGACCAGCTCTCTCTCTCTCTCTTTTTTTTAGTAAAACTGATTTGGTTAATTCAAATAAGGGGATGGTTAAGAAGAAAGTTCTCTTGTTTTTCTTTTCTTCCTTTGTCTAATGTTGACTCATACAGACGAGAAGACTGCTAATTTTGAAGTGTGCCCGGCTGGGCTTTCAACTGATTATGCTGTATTGATTTAAACAGTCACAAGTTTTTAAGATCATTTTTATAGCAATGGCATGAGCAGGGCTGAATGGAAATCAGTCTGAGATAATGAACATTCCTGCTTAGAAATCATTATGGGCTGAGTTGTTGGGGGAAGGCCCTGCACCTGGGAGTCAGCACTTAGCTCAGTGGGCTTCATGCTCAGTGGTCAGCGGGTTCCTGGATCCCAGGCTTTTGGCTCTTGACGAATGCTTGCCTGAGCTTGAGTCAATTCAACTAGTAACAAGTTATTTTTTGGTTTTGGTTTTTGTTTTCCCTCTGGAACATGGATTTTAAAAACAGTTTAGTTAAGGACTATGCATTGTTTGCTGTTCGTTTTGGAGGCAAAGACCCCTGAGTAATTAATGGGAGGGCCTAAGATACCTGCTTTCTCTTGGCAAGTGAAAGGCTGGAAGGCTGCTTTCCACACACACACGGTTGAGGAGTGCAAATTGTGGCCCCAGGGCTGAATCTGGCCAGCTGCTAGTTTCTGTAAGGTCCATGGACTCAGAAAGTTATTTCTGTTTTTAAATACTGCAAAATAAAAGTCAAACAAGTAATACATTTTTGTGACATCTGACAATAATGTGAATTCAAATTGCCTGATTTTTTAGTGTTCATAAATAAAGTTTTTTTTTTTAATATAGCCATATTCATCCATTTAAGTGTATTGTCTGTAGCTGGTTCATGCTACCATGGCAGGGTAGAATACTTGCGACAGAGACCTTATGGCCTGAAAAATCCAAAATATCACCAACTTGCTCCTTCCAGGTGAAGTCTGCCAATCCTGCCATATGTGTAAGAACAGGGTACATTACTTCCCTTCCAGGAGTCCATCTCCCTGCAGGGTCCAGATCTGCCAGGCCACAGCCCTTACTACAAGCAGAGCTGTGTGGGCTAAGCCCTGCTTGATAGAATGACTGTATATATTTAAGACAGAGATGGTGAAAGCAGAACCCACTGAAATCACACTTTTGGTAACTAGATGAACTGAGGCCTCGGTCAGATTTATAGCACTTGTTTAAACCTATTAGAGTGTACTTAGTATTATTTAACACAGGTGGCCAACTAGTTGATTGCTTTACTCCACTAGGGCAACTCATTCTGTACTAGCCTTTCCCATCAACCTCCTCCTTCTCTTCTTCCTTGTCACCTGAGGTTTCAGCCTATGCGTTTCCAACCTCCAGAGAGAAGGATCTGGGCATCTGCTTGGCAAGACAAGCAATGGTCTGTCCTGTGGACAAACTGGTCAGCTGTTCCTCCCTGTCCAGATGGACATCTGCTGCCGCTGCTGTCTGGGTGAGAGGCCGCAGGGTATCCGGCCATCTGGGAGTTTGGGTTCCTACATGCCAGCAGATGGAGACTGGAAAATGCTGGACTGATGAATGGCATTTTCCACCTGTGGTTAGAATCCTTGGGAGAAGTCAATTTATGTTACTCACCGCTTCCTGGACACTCCCTGGAGCTTCTGCTACTTTTATATAGTTGCCCCTTCTTGTTCTCACCTATGGGGCTGAGTTCGGCGCTGGGGACACCACAAACACCCACAGACCCGGCAGTATCTCAGGTGCCTCATCCTCAGGGTGGGCAATACAGGCTGATTTCCCACAGTGGGAGCAGACAGAAAGGGCTCTGACCTGACCCCACTGTTTCTCTGCATATGAGTCCTGTCACAAGTGAATCGACTGCGCTGCCCTGGCCAAGTGCTACAAACCTGCTCCCTTCCCTCCAAAAGCCCCCAAACGTATAATGGTTTTTTTGTGCCCCAAACAGCTCACTCAGCCATAAATAAGTGATGTAGCCATTGGAGGCAGCAGAAGGCATGGGGACCACCTCCCCACCCCAACCAAACCGAAACACCTAGCAGAAGAAAGCACTCTCCTGAACACCAGACTTAAATATTTTAAACAAAAATCCAATTCCTAAAGAATTGGCTTTAAACATATCCATACAGTATTCATTTTACTGTTATAATTTTGCAAGAATTCTGTTAGCTCCTGAAGGCCCAACTAAAGGATCTCTGTTTAACTAAGGGGATTGTAAGGAGTAAAAACCCGAGATTTTCTTCTAGTAGATGCATAGACCCAGCCTGACAGAAAAGGGCTATTGGGGAAATTCACAGAGGCGTCTATTTCCATTCAATGAATAGAAAACCACAAAGTTCTGCCAGTGCTTCTTCTAAGAAGGGAAAAATGAGAGCATGGGTTGAGTTTGTGAATGAGTCCCTCTTCTTACTGCGACTTCTCCCTCTCCCTCTGCATTTGTCTCTTACATGATTTCTATGCCTATTTCTCTTCTGTAGCAATCAAGTCCTTTAAAGGTAGGAGGAGTTTACTGTCTGCTTTCTTCCTTTCCCACAGCTGCTGGTAGAGTGCTTAGCACACAGCAGATTCTTAGCAATGCCTCTTAGTTCATGAACACAAATAAGTAGAATCAGAGTGGCAGGCCCTAGGCAAGGAGTGGATGGTGGGGAGTCCCATCTAGTTGATGCATCAGAAAAACTCTGAGCAAGATGCTGAATCTCTGAAGCTCAGTTTACTCAACATGAAAATGGGTCTAATAATAGATGTCCCCACTACCTCATAGGATTATTGGAGGCTTGAAGGAGAGAAGAGATGCAAAAAACACTCTAGGCAATGGAAAAAACTGCCTAAGGTGGTTTCCTCAAATCAGAAGGTTTCCTTGAATCAGAAAGACCTGTCATGGATCCTCACTGGGTGGAGGTCAGACTAAAGGACACTGATGGTGGTCCCCCTTCATAAGTTCTGAGTTGGTAACACAGCAAGTAGAGTGAATAGATTCTGACCTTTCTTTTGAACCTGAATGCCTTGTGCCTATGGACCAGCTCTATTGCTGTGCCAAGCCAATATAAGATGGTTGGGGGATGGGTGTGGGGAGAGTTCGGGGACAGACCATACATACTAAGGACAAAAAAGCCCAAGACATTTGAAACAAAGACATTTGCAGAGCCTCGTGGAAGTCCTATAACAGCTCTAGTTCTTGACTGCTATCTTCTTGGCCACAAAAGATCACAGACCAGTTACTATAGCAACAACTCTCCTCCAAAAGTGTCCACGTTAAGATGGAGATGGAAAAGATTTTCTTATTAAAAAAAGAAGAAAGAATGAAACTAGGTTTTTGGATATATCTGCCGTCCACCTAAGGCATTGCTCCTTTTCTGAGAAGAAAAAAGAAGCTGTTATTATGGCAAACATGCTTCTAATTCCTAGCAGTTTAATCTCCAAATTCTTATTTTAGATTCGACGCAGTCCATGCTTGTTCCAATACATTCAAGAGGAATGTATCTTCTCAAGAGGCAGAACTGTGAACTAGGGGATGAGGGACCCTAAGACTAGATGGTGAGAGCCTTGTCCACTTTGGGGCCACCTTCTGGCCTGGGAGGGCCCAGCCACCCTCATCACCCAGCTGTGTCCACCATGCAGCCCAGCCGTACTTCTCCTCAGCCCTTCCTTCTGCTCCCCAGCTGTAGGTTTGTCTCAGTTGCTACCGGGGGCAGTAGCTGTGTGGAATGCTTTCTGGCCTCCATGGTGTCCTGTGGTGGGAGCTGCCAGCAGGTCTCAGTGGCCGCCAGCAAGGCAGGTTTTCAGAGCACTTTGGCTGGAACCAGACCCTGCTGTGGCCAAGGACCTATTCTTGGTTTTGGACTTTTCATATAAGCTTCTATGGCCTCAAGAAGAACAAAGGAAAAGGCTCTCCAAAATGAGAGAGTGGATGTGTGTGTGGGGTGAGGGGAGCCCAAGCAAACCTGTCCTGCAAACTTAATTCCACCTGGGTAAAGATGTTCCTTTGACGTGCAGAGGACTTAGACCTCCGGGGTGTGGAGTCTGACTACCCTGCCTGTAGGAAGCAGCCTAGAGAGTCAGGTGAGGAGAATCTGCCAGACTGTTTGGAGAGAACATGGAGTCCGCGCTCGCACAGTGGGTTGGAACTTAAGAGCCCTGGGGACGCGGAGCCCCCCAGTTGGGGAGCAAAATAAAGGCTGACCTTCTCCCCTACTGGGAAGAGCAAACAGAGACAGAACCCACAGATCTGGTTAACAGAATGCTGGGTGAGCCCAGGGCCAGAGAAGTGGGGGTCACAGGAAAAAGTTCACCCTGATGTCCCCACTGAGGATGACGCTGGGCTTCTGGAAACTGCCCCAGGACTGGGACACGAGCAGAGCCCAGGGCGTAAAACGTGGGTTCCAGAATGCTGGGGAAGGCCTGCCCGGACCATCATGGAAATCAGAGGCGACATGTGATAGGCTGCGGCGTACATCGGGGCGGGGCTTACAAAACGGACAGGTGGGTGGGCGTGGCCGCGGGCACTAGTAGGGGAGGGTGGAGTCGTCCCACTCCAGCTGGGCTTTCTTGGCTCCACTCTGCCCGTGTCTGCCCCTGCCCGACCCTTCCTCCTCCTCCTCGTCACTGCCCTCCGACTCGCTGCTGCTGGAGCTAAGGTCTTCCTCCGCTTCTTCCTCCTCCTCCTCTTCCTCGGTCTCCTCTTCCCCACGCCCTGGGGCTCCGTGTTTCTGGATGTCAGGAGAGAGAAGGGAAACAACTCATCATGGATCAGACAGAAGCCATGTTGGCGCTTATGTCTCTCTCTCCATTAAGGAGATAATTAGGGCCCCTTGGAACTCCTTCCCTTAATGCTAAACCCTTGGGCCAGGACATGAACTTTGCAAGGGAAGTCCTCTGGAGAAAGACCAGTTGGAGGACTAAGGAAAAGAGAAGAAATGGCGAATTCCAAGACCCAAACTCAAGGTAAATTGTTGTTTTAGGTGCACATTTAAGTTGGTCCCATCCATCATTCAGTGAACCTTTTGGGTTAAGGTTTTGTTGTTGTTGTTTTGTTTTGTTTTAAATTTTTGGTGAGACTTTCCTGGTGGCTCAGATGGTAAAGAATCTGCCTACAATGTGGGAGACCTGGATTTGATCCCTGGGTCAAGAAGATCCCCTGGGGAAGGGAACCCACTCTGGTATTCTTGCCTGGAGAATTCCACGGACAGAGGAGCCTGGCAGGCTACAGTCTATGGGGTCACAATGAGTCAAGACACAACTGAGTGACGAGTACTAACACACTTACATTTTTGGCAGCACCCCACAGCATTTGTGGGGCCTTGGTTCCTTGACCAGGGATCAAATCTGCACCCCCTGCTTGGAAGGTGGAGTCTTAACCACTGGACCACCAGGGAAGTCCTGGGTTAAGGTTTGTTTTCTGGCATTTCTGGAACCTATCTACATGGAACTTTCCAAGTCTTTAGTGACTTGCTTCTCAATGAGAGAATGACATTTAAGTTTGTACCCCTTTCCAGGTAGGAAAATAATGTCTCTGGGAGTAGGTGGTCTTCTAAGCCAAGACTCAGGTGGGCTGCCCCTCAAAAATACTCCTTCCAGGAGGACAAAGTTCATGGTCCTCATTTTCCCTGCCTGCCCTTCATCACCCGACTTGTGTCCTAAACTCCACCCTACTCTTTTCCAGTCTTATCCCCTCCCCTGAGCTTTTTGGTGATTCCAGTAAAATCTGATATCTGGATTTATGCTTTGAGTTGATGACTAGCCATAAAAAACACGCACACATGCCTGTCTTCATCCCTTCTCTGTAGTGTTTTCTCTTCTACCTTTACCTCCCCCTAAATCCTACCCATTCTTTAAGGTCTCTCTTAGGTTCCAAGGAGTATTCCCTGGACACTCCAGCCCCAAAGGCTTGCCCTACTCATGCTTCACTGACTGCCAGGTTAGCCGTTGGCAAGCACACTCTGGTCAGGTAATCAGACTGCCTCAGGCATAATGATCTTGCAACCCACACCCAAGGCTCAGTTCTTTGAGGGTGGAAATTATGGGGTTCCACAGTGATGCACTTAGTACTACACCTCAGCACATGATGGAAGCTGCATCAGTGTGTTGGCTCTGAAACTGAAGCATGAAGCCAGGTGAGGGGGAAACTGGGGACAGGCTAGGACACTTCATTCCTCAGTGGCGCCTTGATGGCCAGTGGATACCTTGCTTTCCTGCTCCAGCCTTTGCCTTCACCCAGCACCCATGGGCAGACCAAAGGGCACAATGGAAGTGACTTTTGTTTGGACACTCATGGGTGGATTTGGGGAGCTGATGGCCAATTGGGACAATAAGAACTTTAGAATCAGGCAGTGGTGAGTTTGAATACTGGTGCTGACATTAGCAGTTATGGGAATCTGAACACTTTACTTTGCCTCCCTGAGTTGGTCCCACATTGGTAAATGAGGATGGGAACTCCTATGTCACAGGTTGCTGGGAAGATTAAATGAGGTGATGTGTACTGAGGACCCAGTGCAGTTCTGGCATGATGGGGGCTCAATAAATGGCAGGTGTTAGCATTGTGCTTTTGTATTTACCTACTCTGAGCCTCTAAGTGAGCTTTGCAGGCAGATGGAGCATAGCCACCTAATTTATACTGGTAGCTAATAAAAAATTCAATCCTGAGTCCCTGAGTATGAGTCAGCTCTGAGTTAAAGACTATGGGGGAGGCCAAGGACAGACACCACTTTGCTGCTTGACTTAAGAAATGTCTGGTTCTGTTTGTTGACTGAGAGCAGTTCACAGGTTTTTGAGCAGTGCATGCAGTGGGTAGGAAAGTGTGGACCGTTCAAGTTGAGAGGGCTGGAGGAGCCCAGAGAAGGGAAGGATGAGTGGGATTAGGCTAGCTGGGCAGGGCACACAGAATGGATGGGACCCAGTGGAGGAGAGACATCCCACTTCAAGCTCCCAGTCCCTGCCTGAGGATCACCTCCATGGGGTTGACTGTTATAGTGAGTGCAGAATCATCCCAGTCCATCTCTGCTTCCTTGGCAGCCTCAGTCTCCTGGATGAAGTGCTGGTGGGCGATCCGGATCCGGTACACGCCCATGGCCACGACAAACACTAGCATGCACACGGAGATGATGATGACCACTGTGGCAATGCTCGGGACCACTGGAATGAGGAAGGAATTCATATGACATAGTGAGCAAAGGACTAGCTTACTCTTGGGATGGAACATGATTGAAACATTCACGTGTAGCTTAAAATCTGCCTACACCTACCTCAGCTGGAGAACTCTGGGTCAGAACCTTAGTCTCTCTGGGCTTCACTTTTGTCATCTATCGATAATATAGTAGACTTAATCTTATGTTTATTGTCTGCATCTATGTCTCTATTTCTGCTTTGTAAATAAGATCATCTATACCAGTTTTTTCAGATTCCACATACATGCTTTAATATACCATATTTCTTTTTCTCTTTCTGACTTACTTCATTCTGGATGACATCTCTAGGTCCATCCACATCTCTACAAATGACCCGATTTTGCTCCTCTTTATGGCTGAGTAATACTCCATCGCATATATGTTTGCCACATTCCTCTGTTGATGGACATTTAGGTTGTTTCATGTCCTGATTATTGTAAACAATGCTGTGATTTGATACTATGTATAAACTGGATGACTAATGAGAACCAACTGTGTAGCACAGGGAACTGCTCAATGCTCTATGGTGATCTAAAAGGAAGGAAATCCAGTAAAAGGGGATATCTGTCTATGTATAGGTGATTCACTTTTCTGTAGAGTAGAAACTAAACACAACATTGTAAAGCAACTATAATCCTCTCTCTCTATATATCTCTGTGTGTGTGTGTGTGTATATATATGTATATATATATATAGACTTAATCATTCCTACCCCATGGGTAGTTGTAAGAAGTAAATGAAATCATCCATGTGAATTTTCACAGAGGCACACAGTAGGTGCTTAATAAATGCACACTCTTTTTTATCTCTCGCTTTTTCCATCAAAGTGTAGGGCAGCTGCCCTGAGAGCCAGGAACTGTGGAGTTAAGTCAGGACAGAGAGAAGTGCCCACCAGACAGGAAGACGATATGCTAAGTGCTGGAACAGAAGGAAGGGTAGGAGCCTTTTCAATATGTTGCACATGTGTGTGTGAGCATACGTGAGTTGTTCAGGGAAAGTGCCACGCAGCGCATAGCTTTGAATTAGGCTTAAAAAGATGCTAAACTATACTCCAGCCCTGTGTACGAACATCTTTTATTATACACTGCCTGTAACTTCTTGTGTACTTGACCAGCTCCCTCCCAAGGCTGTGAGCACCTCAGAACAAGGCTCATACTTCTCCATAGCCGGGTGCCTCCTTCAGTTCTGGCTGCTGCACCCTAACTGTTGAGTCACAATGACCACCTGGTATCCTGAGGTCCTTCCCCCCAGCTGACCTACCTGAACTGTGCTGGATGCTAGTCTGGGACTCCGGGTGGTGGACGGACTGGAGGAAGGGCGGCTGCGCGATAAGGTGGTTGACGTGCTCAATGTCCGAGACTCTGACCTCATGGAGGACATTGACCTGGGAAGAGCAGGGAAAAGGTGCCGCTGACCGGGAGTGGCCGGTGGACCAGTGGTGGCAGTTTCCTGAATAAATGAGGGAGTAAATGGGTGAGCTGGGGCTTCCCTCATCACCGCAGGTCTCACTCACCTCCAGGTTGAACTCATTGCTAGTGTAGCGCCCGTTGAGTTCTGAGCACTTGATCCTGAAGCGCCGGGACTCCAGGGAGGCTGGACGCCAGTTGCGGTAACGGATGTGACGCAGCACCTGCTCGTAGCGGCTCATGGAGCCTACACCTGTGCCAAGAGACCACACCTGTCATAAGAAGGCAGAAGAGGAGATGCTGTGGAGACAGGCTGTGCCTATGGGGAGCACGGATCTCCCTGAATTTGGCCAGGGTAAGTGCTTGGGGTGTTTAGGGGCAGACAATGTGGGAAAGCAGAGGTTCCAAGGAACCAATTAAGCTGAAGCACAGATTTTCCATGTAGACTGGCTCTCACTGGAATGTTTGACCTCAATCTGCCAAATGCTGCTGTAATACTTGCTGAGATCAAATATGATAAGAGCAGGTTTCCGCCTGGTTTTTACAGAAGACTTCCCTAGGAATGGAATGGAAGCCAGGACCAGAGGAGGCGGGAGCATCTTGTCCAAAGAGGGGCTAGAAGTCCATGCTTTGAGCTCAAGTGTTCCCTCCTGACCCCCCTTCCATGGGTGATGGAGCTCCCATTGCACTCATGACTTCCTGGATGTGAGAGGGGACCACTGGGTCCAGGATTGAGCACTGCCTTACCGTAGATGGAGTAACCTGCTGTGGAGTTGGTGGCGTCCAGGTGTCGCTGGTGGAGCTCACTGTGGTTGAGCTCCAAGCACTCCTGTCTGGGGTCCAAGTCCCCTCCCAGCACTAAAATGTCACAGAAATCTAAGTTGTGAAGCATTTCTTCTAAAACTGCTGATTTGGGGGCTGTGGGAAGAGAGACAACGAAAAATACAGGCATGAGGACAGTACAGATATTGGCGCCCACACCCCCCGTCCTCCTCCACATCTGTACCCCAGGTTCAGGCTGGGTCAGGAGGAGAGGCTATAAGTGCCCCCAGGTCACCATCTCTGCTCAGATGGATGTCCAGGCAGCCCCCGAGGCAGGGCAGCATGAATTTGTGTGAAAAGCGTGAATACTGCAGTCAGAAGATATGAATCTGAGTACTAGCACTGCTCCTGAGAACCTATCTAGTTTACCCATTGATTTCCTCATCCACAAAGAGGGCGAGGGCATTGAGAGGATGGAAAACAGTGTCTGGCCTCTATATGATTTCAGTACCTTTAAACTATGAAATTTTGCACCTTGTTTAATATGTTCTATGTCTCTGGCTTTATAGTCTATGGGAACTTAAATAGAATTTGTATCCCGCCATTGTGTGAAAGTTGTATAAATCTTAATTTGTTGAGTTGGTTCATAATGCTTTTCAGGTCTGCTATATCACCTCTACTTTTCTATTCATTCTATTAAGTTTTGATAGTTTGATATTGAAACTCCAACTAAAAATCTTAATTTATCTACTTAAAAAGTAATTGTAATATATAGGGAGCTGCAGTCCATGGGGGTCACAAAGAGTTGGATACAACTGAGTGAGTGAACAACAAACAATGGAACTATATGTAACTTTGTTCTGTATTTTCCAAGTATCCTGTAAATGTATTATTGTGCTTTTATAATTTGAAAAAGAAAAAAGAAAGAAAAAAAAAAAAGCAAATGGTGTCTGGCACAGAATAGATGCTCAAGAACTGGTCTCCTTTGGGACCAGAGGTGAGTTCCCCTCCATGAGGCTCTCATAGCTTTCCCCACGTGGTTATGGTGTATGTCTCTGTTGTTCCCAATAGACTCTGAGTGTCTCTGAAGCACTTTGCCTGACTGATTCCTCAGTATCTGACCCAGAGGCTGGCAGACACCTGTATTATGACACATTGCTCAAGTGGAGGTACACTGTTGATATAATTAAATAAGTAAATTGGTTAGTCTAGTTGGCAAGCTATTGGTCAGCCTAGCTGTCCTTGACTGATATTATGACACCCAAATTTCCCAGAGGATGTCTGAGTACTAGAATGCTGAACAGGTTGGTAGTCCTAAATTAAACTCCTACTTTAAAATAAAAGTGATTGGTGTTTGTGGAGTCTTTGCTTTATGCTAGGCACAGTGCAAAGGAAATCCTGATAGACACTAGAGGAGGGACTATTATTATCTCCATCTCCCTGAGTGGGGAATGGAACATCCATGAACTGGGCTAGATTGCCTGGGGTTACACAGACAGCTGGGGAGGAGCTGGATGGCAACCATGACCTTCTTATTTTTTTAAAGATTTTTTGATGTGGACCATTTTTAAAGTCTTTATTGAAGTTGTTACAATATTGCCTCTGTTTTATGTAGGTTTTTTTTCTTGTTGTTGTTGTTTGTTTTTTGTTTTTTTTCTGTCTAAGAGCCATGCGGGCTTTTAGCTCCCTGACCAGAGAACAAACTTGCACCCCCTGCATTGGAAGGCAAAGTCTTTTTTTTTTCCATTTATTTTTATTAGTTGGAGGCTAATTACTTAACAATATTGTAGTGGTTTTTGCCACACATTGACATGAATCAGCCATGGATTTACATGTGTTCCCCATCCTGATCCCCCCTCCTGCCTCTCTCCCCACCCCATCCCTCTGGGTCTTCCCAGTGCACCAGCCCTGAGCACTTGTCTCGTGCATCCAACCTGAGCTGGTGATCTGTTTCACCCTTGATAGTATACTTGTTTCAGTGCTATGCTCTCAGAACATCCCACCCTCGCCTTCTCCCACAGAGTCCAAAAGTCTGTTCTGTACATCTGTGTCTCTTTTTCTGTTTTGCATATAGGGTTATCGTTACCATCTTTTTAAATTCCGTAGATATGCGTTAGTATACTGTATTGGTGTTTATCTTTCTGGCTTACTTCACTCTGTATGATGGGCTCCAGTTTCATCCATCTCATTAGAACTGATTCAAATGAATTCATTTTAATGGCTGAGTAATATTCCATTGTGTATATGTACCATAGCTTCCTTATCCATTCGTCTGCTGATGGGCATCTAGGTTGCTTCCATGTCCTGACAATTATAAACAGTGCTGCGATGAACATTGGGGTGCACGTGTCTCTTTCCGATCTAGTTTCCTTGGTGTGTATGCCCAGGAGTGGGATTACCGGGTCATATGGCAGTTCTATTTCCAGTTTTTTAAGGAATCTCCACACTGATTTCCATAGTGGCTGTACTAGTTTGCATTCCCACCAACAGTGCAAGAGGGTTCCCTTTTCTCCACACCCTCTCCAGCATTTATTGCTTGTAGACTTTTGGATAGCAGCCATCCTGACTGGCGTGTAATGGTACCTCATTGTGGTTTTGATTTGTGTTTCTCTGATAATGAGTGATGTTGAGCATCTTTTCATGTGTTTATTAGCCATCTGTATGTCTTCTTTTTTTTTAATTAAAAAAATTTTTTTAATTAGTTGGAGGCTAATTACTTTACAATATTGTAGTGGGTTTTGTCATACATTGACATGAATCAGCCATGGATGTATGTCTTCTTTGGAGAAATGTCTGTTTAGTTCTTTGGCCCATTTTTTGATTGTGTCATTTATTTTTCTGGAGTTGAGCTGCAGGAGTTGCTTGTATATTTTTGAGATTAATCCTTTGTCTGTTGCTTCGTTTGCTATTATTTTCTCCCATTCTGAGGGCTGTCTTTTCACCTTGCTTATAGTTTCCTTTGTTGTGCAAAAGCTTTTAAGTTTAATTAGATCCCATTTGTTTATTTTTGCTTTTATTTCCAATATTCTGGGAGGTGGGTCATAGAGGATCCTGCTGTGATTTATGTCGGAGAGTATTTTGCCTGTGTTCTCCTCTAGGAGTTTTATAGTTTCTGGTCTTACATTTAGATCTTTAATCCATTTTGAGTTTATTTTTGTGTATGGTGTTAGAAAGTTCTAGTTTCATTCTTTTACAAGTGGTTGACCAGTTTTCCCAGCACCACTTGTTAAAGAGGTTGTCTTTTTTCCATTGTATATCCTTGCCTCCTTTGGCAAGGATAAGGTGACCATAGGTTCATGGATTTATCTCTGGGCTTTCTATTCTGTTCCATTGATCTATATTTCTGTCTTTGTGCCAGTACCGTACTGTCTTGATGACTGTGGCTTTGTAGTAGAGCCTGAAGTCAGGCAGGTTGATTCCTCCAGTTCCATTCTTCTTTCTCAAGATTGCTTTGGCTATTCAAGGTTTTTTGTATTTCCATACAAATAGTGAAATTATTTGTTCTAGTTTACTGAGGGTAGCTTGATAGGGATTGCACTGAATCTATAGATTGCTTGGGGTAGTGTAGCCATTTTCACAATATTGATTCTTCCAATCCATGAACATGGTATATTTCTCCATCTATTTGTGTCCTCTTTAATTTCTTTCATCAGTGTTTTATAGTTTTCTATATATAGGTCTTTTGTTTCTTTAGGTAGATATACTCCTAAGTATTTTATTCTTTTTGTTGCAATGGTGAATGGTATTGTTTCCTTAATTTCTCTTTCTGTTTTCTCATTGTTAGTGTATAGGAACATAAGGGATTTCTGTGTGTTAATTTTATATCCTGCAACATTACTGTATTCATTGATTAGCTCTAGTAATTTTCTGGTAGAATCTTTAGATTTTTCTATGTAGAGGATCATGTCGTCTGCAGACAGTGAGAGTTTTACTTCTTTCCTATCTGGATTCCTTTTATTTCTTTTTCTGCTCTGATTGCTGTGGCCAGCACTTCCAAAACTATGTTGAATAGTAGTGGTGAGAGTGGGCACCCTTGTCTTGTTCCTGACTTTAAGGGAAATGCTTTCAATTTTTCACCATTGAGGGTAATGCTTGCTGTGGGTTTGTCATATATAGCTTTTATTATGTTGAGGTATGTTCCTTCTATTCCTGCTTTCTGGAGAGTTTTTATCATAAATGGATGTTGAATTTTGTCAAAGGCTTTTTCTGCATCTATTGAGATAATCATATGGTTTTTATCTTTCAATTTGTTAATGTGGTGCATTACATTGATTGATTTGCAGATATTAAAGAATCCTTGCATTCCTGGGATAAAGCCCACTTGGTCATGGTGTATGATCTTTTTAATATGTTGTTGGATTCTGTTTGCTAGAATTTTGTTAAGGATTTTTGCATCTGTGTTCATCAGTGATATTGGCCTATAGTTTTCTTTTTTTGTGGCATCTTTGTCTGGTTTTGGTATTAGGGTGATGGGCCTCATAGAATGAGTTTGGAAGTTTGCCTTCTTCTGCAATTTTCTGGAAGAGTTTGAGTAAGATAGGTGTTAGCTCTTCTCTGAATTTTTGGTAGAATTCATCTGTGAAGCCATCTGGTCCTGGGCTTTTGTTTGCTGGAAGATTTCTGATTACAGTTTCGATTTCTGTGCTTGTGATGGGTCTGTTAAGATCTTCTATTTCTTCCTGGTTCAGTTTTATTTATTTATTTTTTTTCTTCTTTTTTTATTTTTTATTTTTTTCATTTATTTTTATTAGTTGGAGGCTAATTACTTTACATCATTGCAGTGGTTTTTGTCATACATTGAAATGAATTAGCCATGGATTTACATGTATTCCCCATCCCGGTCCCCCCTCCCACCTCCCTCTCCACCCGATCCCTCTGGGTCTTCCCAGTGCACCAGGCCCGAGCACTTGTCTCATGCACCCAACCTGGGCTGGTGATCTGTTTCACCCTAGATAATATACGTGTTTCGGTGCTGTTCTCTTGAAACATCCCACCCTCGCCTTCTCCCAGAGTCCACAAGTCTGTTCTATACATCGGAGTCTCTTTTTCTGTTTTGCATATAGGGTTATCGTTACCATCTTTCTAAATTCCATATATATGTGTTAGTATACTGTAATGGTCTTTGTCTTTCTGGCTTACTTCGCTCTGTATAATGGGCTCCAGTTTCATCCATCTCATTAGAACTGATTCAAATGAATTCTTTTTAATGGCTGAGTAATATTCCATGGTGTATATGTACCACAGCTTCCTCATCCATTCGTCTGCTGATGAGCATCTAGATTGCTTCCATGTCCTGGCTATGATAAACAGTGCTGCGATGAACATTGGGGTGCACGTGTCTCTTTCAGATCTGGTTTCCTTGGTGTGTATGCCCAGAAGTGGGATTGCTGGGTCATATGGCAGTTCTATTTCCAGCTTTTTAAGAAATCTCCACACTGTTTTCCATAGTGGCTGTACTAATTTGCATTCCCACCAACAGTGCAAGAGGGTTCCCTTTTCTCCACACCCTCTCCAGCATTTATTGCTTGTAGACTTTTGGATAGCAGCCATCCTGACTGGTGTGTAATGGTACCTCATTGTGGTTTTGATTTGCATTTCTCTGATAATGAGTGATGTTGAGCATCTTTTCATGTGTTTGTTAGCCATCTGTATGTCTTCCTTGGAGAAATGTCTGTTCAGTTCTTTGGCCCATTTTTTGATTGGGTCATTTATTTTTCTGGAGTTGAGCTGGAGGAGTTGCCTGTATATTTTTGAGATTAATCCTTTGTCTGTTGCTTTGTTTGCTATTATTTTCTCCCAATCTGAGGGCTGTCTTTTCACCTTGCTTATAGTTTCCTTTGTTGTGCAAAAGCTTTTAAGTTTCATTAGGTCTCATTTGTTTATTTTTGCTTTTATTTCTAAAATTCTGGGATGTGGGTCATAGAGGATCCTGCTGTGATTTATGTCGGAGAGTGTTTTGCCTATGTTCTCCTCTAGGAGTTTTATAGTTTCTGGTCTTACATTTAGATCTTTAATCCATTTTGAGTTTATTTTTGTGTATGGTGTTAGAAAGTGTTCTAGTTTCATTCTTTTACAGGTGGTTGACCAGTTTTCCCAGCACCACTTGTTAAAGAGGTTGTCTTTTTTCCATTGTATATCCTTGCCTCCTTTGTCAAAGATAAGGTGACCATAGGTTCGTGGATTTATCTCTGGGCTTTCTATTCTGTTCCATTGATCTATATTTCTGTCTTTGTGCCAGTACCATACTGTCTTGATGACTGTGGCTTTGTAGTATAGTCTGAAGTCAGGCAGTTTTAGAAAGTTATACTTTTCTAAGAATTTGTCCATGTCTACCAAGTTGTCCATTTTATTGGCATATAGCTGCTGGTTGTAGTCTCCTATGATCTTTGTATTTCAGAGTTGTCTGTTGTGATCTCTCCATTTTCATTTCTAATTTTGTTGACTTCGTTCTTCTCCCTTTGTTTCTTAATGAGTCTGGCTAATGGTTTGTTAATTTTATTTATCTTTTCAAAAAACCAGCTTTTAGCTTTGTTGATTTTTGATATGGTCTCTTTTGTTTCTTTTGCATTTATTTCTGCCCTAATTTTTAAGATTTATTTTCTTCTACTAACCCTGGGGTTCGTCATTTCTTGCTTCTCTAGTTGCTTTAGGTGCAGAGTTAGGTTATTTATTTGACTTTTTTCTTGTTTCTTGAGGTAAGCCTATATTGCTATGAACCTTCCCCTTAGCACTGCTTTTACAGTGCCCCATAGGTTTGGGGTTGTTGTGTTTTCATTTTCATTCATTTCTGTGCATATTTTGATTTCTTTTTTGATTTATTCTATGATTTGTTGGTTATTCAGAAGCATGTTATTTAGCCTTCGTATGTTGGAATTTGGAAGGCAAAGTCTTAACCACTGGACCACCAGTTCGTGTGTGATAAGTCGCTTCAGCCATTTCTGATTTGTGACCCTATGGACCATAGTCCTCCAGGCTCCTCCATCCATGGGATTCTCCAGGCAAGAATACTGGAGTGGATTGCCATGCCCTCCTCCAGGGGATCTTCCTGCCCCCAGGGAACCCACATCTTTTATGTCTCCTGCATTGGCTAGTTCTTTACCACCTTGGGAAGCCCCATTGGACCACCAGGGAAGTCCCCAGCCATGACTTTCTGATTTCACACTTTGTGACTGTCTCAGCCTCTGGGCCATTGCTCTTCAAATGTTTTTGATGTTGCAGGCATTTATTAAAAAAATTTGTGAACTGAGATCATGTAAATAAGTATATTTATTCATTAAGCAGACTGTTGTATTTTGTGCATGATAAAACATTTATGAAAACAGAAATTTAAAAAGGATTCACAAAAGATGAGAGAGCTATTTTGAAATAATTATTTTATTTTGTTTAAACTTTTAAGGAATACCCAAAATATTTTTTATTCTCACTGGATATATGTTGTTAATAAATAATTCCATATGCTTAATTTTAAAATGCTTGCCAGTGTCAATGGCTTTATGTATTGTTGGCAAAATCTAAAAGCACATTAATAAATACTTAACAAGGTCTATTATTAATAATGGTGCACATATATCTCTCTTTCAAATGGCATATGGTTTCTGGGGTTTCTCTGGAGCTATATCCTTCTGAGGTAAGGTTGGGTCATCCTTGCTTCTAGGACCCCACATGGTTGACTGATTGCTCCCCCTAGGCAGAAGTGTGTTGATGCCACAATCTTCTCTTGTTCTCTCATGCTTGCATAATGGGCTAAATATTCCATTGGCAATTTCCCTGATTCCCACTGCCCTAAAGGGACTGTTCTGGGCTGAGGAACTTACTGGAAAATCAGCCATGGTTAGTCCTGGAGGAGCTCCTTGTCTGGTTATTAGTAAATAGATAATCACCAACTGTGAGCTTGCCAATGTGTGTGAGAGGGAGCCTTAGTGGTTGGGGGGCATACAGAGTGGTTAGAGGTGTATAGTCTGGGGTCAGGCTGGCGGCTGACCCAGTGGTTGGGGGCTGCCCTCTGGAGGAGACATTAAAGTAGACTGTTTTTTTCAGTAATAATAGGGAATAGGACAGAGAAGGACCTTCCAGGCCAAGGACAGACCATGAGCAGATGTGTAAACTAACACAGAGGTGTTGGGGGAGAGAGGGGTGTGTGTGTCGTTGGCACTGAAACAGCACAGTAAGTGAATCCATCGGGGTAGAAGAAGGATGGTGGAGAGGGTCACTGGTGGAAGTGCCATTAGCCTGCTTGTTTATGGCATCCACAATAATGATTATTCTTACAACCATAAGAGTAAAATTTTAAAAGTACTGATAATAGATCTCAGGCACTTGGCTACATGTTTTGCATGCACTTCTCATAAATAGAAGGTGACATGTGGACCCATATAATTGCTTGTCGCTAGATTACCTGTATGTTGATGTCAGGCCTCGAGAATTCAGATACTCTTAGCTATGGCCTGCAGCCCCTGCAATCAGAGTCTCTTCTTTTTCTGTCTGATTTCAGCCACAAATGAGGACCAGAGGGAAGATCACATGACCTAATGCACCTTGGAATGTAACTGGAAAATGGTTCTGCCCAGCCAGTTGGCCCAACACCATCTATTTTTGTGAGCTTAGAAGGACAGCCTTGCCAGGCATCCCATTCCTAGGGACCAGCATGGATTAAGGCAGTGGGTAATTAGGATTATTATAGGAGCAGCCCTTCAGGGACTCAGGCCCACTGGCACTAGCACATCATTAGCAGCTACTTTTGGAGGCAGAGATGGAGAGTTGAAAATATTGGAGGAGGAGGCAAAGATGGTTCTCAAACATATTCTTCCTGTAGCTCTGGCCCCAGAGGTTTCCTGACTTCTTTCTTTATCTTTCCATCCTTCTTCCCCTACCAGCTGAATACACTATAGATTTCAGATCAATGCAGTGTTTCTTCCTAACAGGTAATTCAAATTACTTTTACTGAACAGCCCTCCCAACAATGAAACCACTGGAAAGAACAATTGCAAAGTTCCCTGAGAGTTGAGAGTGATATTACTGAAGCATGTTTCTTCATGCTTCTTTAGCTTTTCTTCTGATCACCAGAATGATACATGCCTAGTATAGACCATTTTGCAGCTGTAGAAAAGTGAACAGTAGAAACAAATGTGCTCTCCTGCTTCTCAGAGAATATCACTGTTATCCCTAGGTGTGTTTCCTTCTGGGCATTTTTCTGTGTATCTTTTTTTTCTTGACATAGTTGTTATCAGTATGTGTGTAGATACTCTGTAATTCACTTCTTGCCTTTTTTTTTTTTTTAAACTTACAGTTTGGCATAAGTGCCTCCCCTCCAGCATTATACCTCTTATGTGTTGTTGTAGTTCAGTCTCTATGGTGTATTTACTCTTTGTGACCCCATGGACTGCAGCATACCAATTTGTGTTTGTCTTTCAACCATCTCCCTGAGTTCACTCAAACTCATGTCCATTGACCCAGTGATGCCATGGCATCACCTCTTATGTGGGGGTACCACAATTTGCTAAGGCATTCACTCCCCCCTGTTATTTGTCTGCATTATCTCCAGGATTTTTTGTTCTGTTATAAATTACCCCACTATGGTGAACAATACTATTGTCCTGAAGTGTGATTTGATAAGAAACATACTTTATGTGAGAATTTAAGGTCTACCACCCCTTGACTCAGTGTATGCACCTGTACCTGTGGTCTTCAAGTCACTGGGAGCCTCAGCTTTGGCGAAGGTGCTCACAATCTTGATATCAGGGAAGAGGATCACCCCTCTGGTACTTTCAAACTGGGCAGCGGGTCTCCAGAAGCGGTCTGTGCCGTGGAGGGTGATCTGGGGCTCAACTGCCTGCAGCACCATCACGTAGGCGTCCATGTCGGGGATGCTGATACACACATCTTCTCCAAAGCACCTGGGGAAACAGCAGTCATTGCTGAAATCATCTATCATCCAATATGGACAAGGATACCTGCAACCACCTCTGGCCTTCAATGAGACATCCTGACTGCTTGAGAGCCTCTGACGATGTCAGCAGACATTCAAAATTAAAGTTACATTATTGGCTCAAGTGCTAAAGAATCCCCCTGCAGTGCGAAAGATATAGGAGACAGGGTTTGATCCCTGGGTCAGAAAGATCTCCTGGAGGAGGAAATGGCAACCCACTCCAGTATTCTCACCTGGGAAATACCATGTTTAGTGGAGTCTGGTGGGCTACAGTGCACAGGGTCACAAAGAGTCAGACATGACTGAGCATGAACACATAGTCAAAACTACTAGCAATCTAGGAGAAATGGGAATTTTCTATACCCAGCAATAAGTAACCATTAAACCTTTAATTATCGTTTAAGAGAGTGATCAACAGCAACATTAATTAGACAACAACTGCTTGCTCTGTGCCTAAGGATTTAGTAAACAAGTTGTCATCTCGGTGGTTAGTTACAGCCATCTTACTAGGTGAGACCCCAGGGCTAGTCTCCCCTGTCTGCTGGAGCAGTTTATATGTTCTGTCTCTATGAGGATATCACACACGTGCGTGCCTGTTCCAGATGTACCAGCAGACTGCTATTGTAACCACACTCCTTAGTCCTGATGCACTGCCACAAAAATGTCTGGGAGCCAGGGTGGTGTGACAAGAGCAAAGCCTGGGAAGTGAGACAGGAAGGGTCCACACCTGACTCTGCCACTCCTGGGCTCAGAGAATCTGGGCAGGGAGCACAACTGCTGCGAACCTCCGTCTCTTTATCTATACAATGGGACAATAATTATCTTACAGTAGTAAGGCTTGAGTGCAGGTGCCATATAGATAGGAAGCCACCCAAGAGCCTGCATCATGGTTGGAGCTCAGTAAATGCTGACAGACTAACACTCTCTTCAGACCTCATCAGGCATGCGTGTCACTGGCATACTCTGCTGCTCCTTGCGACCAAGACCCAAGCTACATGGGGAACCCTAGGGTCTAGATGGATGCTCTGGGAGTGATGGTGGATTCCAGCTGGTGGCAGCCATCAACTTACATCTTTGGCAAGGTTCCTGGGGGCAGGATAGGCTGAGCCACTCCATCTTCTTCTCCAGGGTGGGCTAGGTGTGGGCGCGGTGGTGGGCTCTTGCTCCCACTTGTTTTTTGGCCTTTGTGGCACCAGCAGCCCCTCTCCTTGCTAGTTTATGGAAGCCTGGTCCTAGAACTGGAGACCAGTAGTCTGGTCTCTCTTCTTCACTACAGTGTAGGACTGACCTGGAGGTCAGCTACCTCCTCCCTATTGTAGCCTCCAGGGGTGGCCTTTAGTGTGGAGGTGGAGCACTTTCTCCATCAGTAGAACTGTTGGATGTATTTGCCATCTGTGAGCTCTGTTTTGGCATCTGTCCCAGGCCCCAGCAACCTGGTAGGCAGCAGACCCATCTTTCCCACCCTTTTTGCTGTCTTTCTGGGTCCTCCTAATGGCTCCAGGTGCCAGGTGATTCCTTTGTGCTTCTCAGGAGTTTTTCTGGGATCCCTTTCCTAGCTGCCCTCCCACACAGACGTTTGGCTGAGAAACATTTTGATAGACCAGAAAAGGTGTTATCTAAATGTCACAGTGATAATCTCATCTCCTTAATTTAACTCTGATCCCTGAGGACAAGAACTATGCCTTCTGTTTCTCTCACATACTTACAGTATTTAGGAACTCTATCAAGGCTAGGTTGGTTAATTTAATTCAATGAATAAACATTTGTGAAGCATGATACTATATATAGAAAAATCCTAAAGATGCTACCAAAATCTATGAGAACTAATGAATGAATTCAGTAAGTTGCAGGATACAAAATTAATATGCAGAAATCTGTTGCATTTCTATACACTAACAATGATCAGAAAAAGAAAAAGAAAACCATTTGCAATTGCATCAGAAAGAATAAAATACCTAGGGATAAATCTAATTAAGAAGGTAGAATATCTGTACTCAGAAACTGCAAAACACTGATGGAAGAAATTAAAGATGTTACAAACAAATGGAAAGTTATGTATGGCATGTTCATGGACTGGAAGAATTAATATTATTAAAGTGACCATCCAAAGCAATCTACAGATTCAATGCAATCTCTATCACAATGCCAGGGGTATTTTATTTTTAACTAAACTGGAACAAAAAGTTCTAAAATTTGTATAAAACCTTAAAAGATCTCAAAAAGCCAAAACAGTCTTGACAAAGAGGAACAAAGCTGAAGTCACTGAAGTCATTCCCTGACTTCAGACTATGCTGCCAATCCACAGTGATCCGAACAGGTATGGTACTGGCACAAAGAAAGACATGTAGATCAATGCAACGGAATAGAGAGCTCAGAACTGAGCTCATGCAGAGATGGTCAATTAATAAATGACAGAGGAGGCAAAAATATAAAATGAGGAAAAGACAGCTTCTTCAATAAATGATGTTGGAAAAACTGGACAGCTACATGCAAAAGAAACAAACTGGACTACTTTCTCACATCATACACAAAAATAAACTCAGAATGAGTAAGACCCAAAACCATAAAACTCCTAGAAGAAACACAGGAAGTATGTTTCTTTGACTTCGGTCTCAGCAATATTATTTTGGATCTGTCTCCTCAGGCAACGGAAACAAAAGCAAAAATAAACACATGGGGCAATATCCAACTAAAAAACTTGTGCACAGTGAAGGAAACTCTCAACAATATAAAAAGGCAGCCTAATGAATGGGAGAAGATATTTGCAAATGATGTACACAGTAAAGGGGACTTCCCAGGTGGTACGGTGGTAAAGAATCCGCCTCCCAATGCAGGAGACGCAGGAGATGTGGGTTTGATCCCTGGGTTGGGAAGATCCTCTGGAATAGAAAATGGCAACCCACTTCAGTATTCTTGCCTGGAAAATTCCATGGACACAGGAGCCTGGTGGGTTGTAGTCCATCGTGTCACAAAGAGTCAGACACAACTGAGCATACACACTATATAGTAAGGGGTTAACATCCAAAATATGCAAAGAACTCATACAACTCTATAGCAAAAAACAGATAACCCAACTGAAAGATGGGCAGAGGACATGAATAGATATTTTTGCAAAGATTTACAGATGGCCGACAGACACATGAAAAGATGTTCAATATCACTAATCATCCGGGAAATGTGAATCAAAACCACGAGGTATCACCTCACCCCTATCATAATGGCTAATAGCAAAAATAAATAATAAGTGTTGGTGAGGTAGAGTAAAGGAAGCCTCTATGCACTACTGGTGGGAATGCAAATTGGTGCTGCCACTGTGATAAACAGTATGGAGGGTCCTCATAAAAACTAAACATAGAACTGCTGTATAATCCAGCAATTTCATTTCTGAGTATTTTCCTGAACAGTGCTAATTTGACAAGATATATGCACACTAATGTTCACTGCAGCATTATTTACATACATTAAATATGATATGGAAGCAGTCTAACTGTCCAAGGATAGATGGATAAAGAAGATGTGGATTTGTATATTTATGGTAAATACATATTTGTGTGTATATGTATATAGTATATATATTTAAAATATAATTATACAGACATATTTATTTATATAGTATATTTATATAGTATATATCTGATATATATATTAATACTATAGCAATAATAAATTATATATACAATATATATACAATGGAATGTTACTAAGTCATAAGAAAGAATAAAATCTTACAGTTTGCAACAATATGAATAGAGGATGTTATGTTAAGTGACATAAGTCAGACAGAGAAAGACTGTAGGATTTCACTTATATGTGGAATCTAAAAAACCAAACAAAACCAGACTCATAGATATAGAGAACAAACAGATGGTGGCCAGGAGGGTGGGGGTTGGGGTTGGGGTGAAATATATGAAGGAGCTTAAGAGGTACACACCTCCAGTTATAAAATAAAAGATCCACAGGGATGTGACATACAGCATAAGGAATATGCTCAATAGCATTGTAATAACTTTGTATAGTGACATATGATTACCAGATTTATCATGGTTATCATTTCATAATGTATGCAAATGTCAGATCACTATGCAGTACACCTGAACTAACATAGCATTTTATATCAATTATATTTCACTTAAAAACAAAACCAAACAAAAGGAGAACACAAATCCATTGGGGTGGCCTCAAAGGGACAGTAGAGAAGCTGCCAGCAGCTGAAGAGAGGTGAATCCTAGTTTGCAAGAGAATATTCCCCAGGGACTATCCCTGATGTCTTGGCTGGGCCCCAGGCTGCCCAGTGTCCACTCACTGGACTTTGGAAGAGACTTTCAGGCGCCGCACACCCGCAGTTGGGAACTGCCTGGAGTTGATGTAGGAGACCTTCTGGAGGGCACGGTTGATATTTCCGATGTCATCACCTTCCATCACCAGGACAGACTGCGAGGGGTTGAAATGATACTGGAAGACAGGGGTATCACAGGAGAGAATGATCAGTCATGTTCACAGTTCTACAGAGACCCTCCATCTCCATACAAAGGCCACTGAGGCATCTCCAGCGTTTGTGGAAGTGCAGCAGCTGTGTGCACAGTGGCTGTTTTAATCCCTCAAACAATCTCTACTCTCCGCTGGTGGACTTTGGAACTCTCCACTGTAAGATACCCTGGGATTATAAACTCCTGGTAATACCACCCGGAGCCACAGGATGAATCCTTTGTAGTCATCATGCTCCTGTGGTCCAGCCTTTGGTGGGCTCATGCTCGAGGCTACTATGAGGTCCTTCTCAGAAACTTTCAGCTCCTGGACTGCCCACCCCTTCAGCTGACAGCCTGGAAACCAGGGGCTTCAGCTCCTTTTGCTGTCTTGACTTTGACCTTGAACTGCTCCTCCATTCACCCTGCACTCCACTTCCTCACCCCGTGTCCCATCTTTTCAGCTTCCAGTCGTAAAGTTCATTTTTAAGTTAATGGCCTTCTCTCTCTCTTAGATCTGATTCTTGATCTTGCCTTCTTGGTGCTAAACTTTGGCTTCCCAGGACTTCTAATCACTTGATATTTACACACCTGTCAGCTGCCTATCTGTCCCATTTGGGGTCCCTGATATCGCACATTCAGTGAAGGTCAGGGGGCTCTGATGCTCCCCACTGAGTCACTTGGGTTCTCTAACCAGATAAACTCAATCCAAACTTCTATCTCTTCCATGGTATTATTCCATCCTCCAGCAATTACTATATTTTTGAATGAAGCATGGAGAACTGCTTTTGTACTAATCTGAGTTACTGACCTTGACACACTTCTGAGTAATAACTATTAGGAACTGCTATCAATAATATGTCAGGGACTTATCTGTGGATTCAAATTTTGTATCCAGTACTTGTGTCATAGGAAGGAGAGACATGGATATATTTTAATGTAGCTACTTGCCAACAATTATTTATATTTTTGAATAGATAACATATCCACATGGTTCAAATATATATATGAATATATGCGTGTATATATATGGGGCTTCCCTGGTGGTTCAGTGATAAAGAACTTGCCTGTCAATGCAGGAGACATGGATTTGATCCCTGGGTTAGGAAGATCCCCTGGAGAAGGAAATGGCAACCCACTCCAGTATTCTTCCTGGAAAATCCCATGGACAGAGAAGCCTGGAAGACTACAGTCCATGGGATCGCAAAGAGTCAGACATGACTGAATGACCAGACAACAACTGTGTGTGTGTGTGTGTGTGTGTGCACGCGCGCACGCACGCGTGTGTATGCTAAGTGAAACTGTCCATCTTATTTCTACCTCCTGTGAAACTAATTTCCCCAACCCCATCCCACAGGTGATCGCTGTTCCATTAATTTCTTAGTGACAAACTGCATTATTATTCATAATTAGTTATTTCTACTCCTAGGGAAAGGCTTATACAAGCCTGTCAACAGGTTTGATCATGTAACTTATGGTACCCTTCTACAGGATATACATTTTTGTCCTGTTGCACTCAATAGTGATCATGTGACTTGGTTGGCTAACAAAAAGTGGGCCAGTGTATTATTTGGTTCACAACTTGGGTGGAAGATTTAACAGCCAGTTAATTCATGGTGCCATGTCCCTTTCCCTCTGCTATGAAATTTGCAAAGTTCCCCAGTGGTCTAACAGCCTGGGTCTCACAGTGAGGCGGGTATGGATAAGAGTTGCAGCTAATCTTTAGCGGACATGAAGTGTGCACAATAAAAAAAAATTCTATATATTCCATTGAAATTTTAAAGTCATTTGTTACTGCAGCATAACATAGTCTATCCTGACAGTTATATTTAAGCATTTAATGAATGTGTAATCAATGAATATAGATTCCCATTTTTCTTCTTTCTTCCACCAAAGATAGCTTGTTACATGCTATACTGTACTTTGCTTTTTCACTTAGCTTGTGTCTTAGAGGTCTTTTCTTTTCTTTTTTTAAAGTTGTATAATATTATTTAATATTAAATAATCTAACCAGTCTTCTAATATGAACATTTGGGTTGTTTCCAATCTTCTACTAATAATGCCACAATGAATAATCTTTTATAATAACAATTTTAAAGTGTGTAAATGTATCTGTAGACTAAATTCCTGTGAGTGAAATTGCTAGGTCAAAGGGTATATGCAGTTTAAATTTTAACAATGTTGCCAAATCTCTCTTTGCTAGGGATTATATCACTATACCCTCCCTTTCATGGTGTATGAGAATGCTCTTTTCTCAAAACCTCAATAGAAGAGCATGCTGTCAAACTTTAGGATTTTTGCCAATCTGACAGGTGATAAATACTATCTTGTGTAGTTTTATTTTGCATTGCTCTTTCCATGAAGTAGACTCAGTATATTCTGAAGGATTTAAGGGAAACATCTATTTTAGCTTTTCCCTGATATGACCTGGATGTCTTCACAAGAGTTTCTTATTCTGTGTCTGGACCCCACTAGGATGTGGATGTCTCATGAGCACTGTGGAGCCATTGCACATGGCAACCCACTCCCGTGTTCTTGCCTGGAAAATGCCATGATCAGGGGAGCCTGGTGGGCTATAGACCATGGGGTTGCAAAGTTGTACACGACTGAGCACATACAATGCACATGGTGGCCCCCAGCAAACAGATGCTCAATCTCTGTCTCTTTCAAGTATCATGCTAGTGTTTCATTGTTATATTCTCCTTAAAGCCTCCCTGGCTTCCCTCACTTATGTCTCCACTGGGTTCTTATAGTGCCTATGAAATGGTTTGTTGTTGTTTAGTCACTAAGTCATGTCTGACTCTTTTGGGACCCCATGGACTGTAGCCCACCAGGCTACTCTGTCCATGGGATTTCCCAGGCAAGAATACTGGAGTGCATTGCCATTTCCTTCTCCAGGGGAGCTTCCTGAGCCAAGGATTCAACCTGCGACTCCCTGCACTGTCAGGAGGATTCTTTACTACTGAGCTACTTGGGACGCTCACATGGTGATAGTATAATTATAGTGCAGTGACCATGAGCTCACTGAGGACAGGAGCTGTGACTCTTATCCCTGAATCTCAGAACCTCATCCTGAGTGCCCAGAAGCCCCTGTTAGATGAATGAGTAAATGGTCTTCCAACCCATATTTTACTCAGTATTTTTCTTTTTACTCCCCAAAAGGACTTTTTTTTGTCATTTGTCTTTTCAGTCAAGCCTTGGCTCAAATCATCATCAGTGCTTCCCAAATCGTGTTCTGCTTTCCTTCCTGGGCTTCCTGGAGGCTGTATGTCTCAGCTGCCTCGGGCCACCTGCAGGTGGGCCATGTGGCTGTGTGCCCAATGGCATGCGAGAGGAAGTGATGCAGCCACTCTGGGCTGAGGTAGTGAAGAGCCCTGCTGGACGCCCAGCTGTTTCCTTTCTCAATTCTGGTATTCTAGGTAGAAAGCCTACCTCATTTCCCTGACTTAGTGTGGGAGAAAAATAAACTTTTAAGCACTAAGTGATAGAGTTTTCAAGTCATTTGCCATTGCAATTGTTTGATCCATTAGAAGAATTCAGCCCTTCCTTCCCAGGCATGAGTCATGTCCCCCAAGGCTATGTGGTACTTTTGAAAGGTCATGGGCTATGTAGACTTTGTACCCCAGGTCCAGAACGAGCTACAGAATACAGCTTGGGACTATTCACTTCCCCTTTCTGGACTTCATTTCTTCATTGAAAATAATGGGGATATTAATATCTACTTGTCTGGAGCTTAAGTAAGATAATGTATATAAAGTATCTAGCACTTAAAAAAAGGTACTCATTCTATAATAGCTTTTATTATAATTCTTAATACTGTAAACTGTTTCTGCACTGAGGCTTTGCCTATGCTGGTACCATTGCCTTCACTGTTCATTGTTCCCTATGATCCAGTTTTCTCCCATCCTCAAAGCCCTGAGCAGAGTCTCTCTGAGCTGTGACATGTGGTCCCAAGCACTGTTCCCTGTGTTGGATTTGGGAGCCTATGGGCATATGCACAGCCTTTAGGTGATGCTACAGTGGGCCCCCAGCTGGCTTCTCTCTTGCTGGGGCTGACTCACTAGCCTAGAGTGCTCAGCTGTGGAGATGCCACACACTGGTGAATCATCAGTAGTTCTCAGTATTTTACAAATCATCCACTTCTGATATGAGCAGATTCAAGATCATTCTTCTAAACATACCACTTAAGTTTCTATGTTTTCCCCTGCCTTCATCTCTACCATCCCTGCTATGGAAGTCTTCTGGTGCTTTTGCTGTCTATCTCCTCCCCCAGCAGATTGCAAGCACCTCCAGGGCAGGATCGGCTGACTTTGTCAGCATCACCACAGGTCCAGTACACAATAAGCATGAGACAAGATGATGTCCCCTGCAGAAAAGGCTGATTTCTGAGCCTTGCATGAGGGCTGCATAGGAAAATCAAGCAGTGCTTCCAGAGGAATGGACTGGCAGCAACCCGTGGCATCAGCATCAGCAGAAGGCATTCCCACTGCAGCCTCCTTGAGAGAGGATGGGTTAGGGAATGTGTTGGATCTCTGATGAATACACAATTCTAATGAATACACAATTCTGGCTTCCAGAGCATCCCAAAGACTGCCACAGGACATAAGGTGGGCGCTGGCCTATCCATCAACACATTTTCTTACAAGATCAATAAAATCCTCCACTAGAGTAGGTTTTGTTTGTGTGCTTGTGTTGTCTTTTGTGGCATGACTGAAGGTCCGGCTCTGGTGCTACAGGACACAGAATGGTATTGGCATTACCACAGGGGCAGGTGATGGCTTCTTGGGAATCAGCGCTCACTCAGCCTGGAAAGCTGGTCTGTAGCCAGTGGTTCCTTTTTTTGAACCAAGGAGTGATTAGACAGATGGCCTTTGCAGAACAGTCAGCTGTCCTGGAGGGTCAGGCTGGGACATCAGTGAAGTCCCTGCCCAAAGCCCTGGCCTGTTCTTGGGGAACAGACTGGCCATGGCACTCTGGGCATGCTACCCTTCCCTTGGGCACCTGCCAGCTTTTCTGTGCTGGGCCAGAGGAAGATTCACCACAATAGAGGCTATTCTGTTGCAAATATCACCCAGACTGACTTTTCAAAAGAAGCTGGGGCAGCAGCAATGCCCACTGCAAGGTCAACCCAGCAGGAGAAGGGAACTGATTAGTTCAGAGCCTATTTATCAGGTTTTCTAGGGGAGATTTGTATCTATACCTCATCTATATGGATATCTTTGCTATATCTGATATATAAATATATGTAAGAATATATAAAATATATGTATTATTCAATTCTTACATTGCTGCACAATGATATTAAGTCCATTTTACACATGAGGGAATTGGGGTTTAAAGGATTAAAGTACCTTGCCCAAGGTCACCCTGCTCAGAAATATCCATACTGTGCTTTGAATCTAGAAGTGTTTTGTCCCAAAGTTCTTTCCCACACTTCCACACCAGAGATGACAAATTGGCAGGGATGAGGCTATGAAAATCAGAAGCAGATTTTCCTCAGGAATGTGGCGATTCCACTGTATCTTGTATGGGTACGTAACAGCAACCACCTAGGTCATTTACTCACTCCAGACAAGCTGGTGAAATATCCAGAAATGCACATTTTCCAGAGGAAAACAAGTGAGACGAGGAACCCACCTGGGTCCATGTGAGCAATCAAGATATTTCCTTAGTTCGTGGGAGGTTCTGGCTTCTTTGGACTAGCCAGAAAGGAAGGAGGAGGCTGGGAGCCAGCAGGGAAAACACTGCACGCGTGCTCAGTTGCTTCAGTCATGTCTGAAACTCTTTGCGATCCCATGGACCATAGCCTGCCAGGCTCCTGTGTCCATGGGATTCTCCAGGCAAGAATACTGGAGTGGGTTGTCATGCCCTTCTCCAGGGGATCTTCCCAACCCAGGGATTGAACCTGAGTCTCCTGCTGTCTCCTGAATTGCAGGCAGATTCTTTATCCCTGAGCCACCAGGGAAGCCCAGAGAAAACACTAGTCATTATTCAAAAACAAAATGAGGGATAAGAGGGAATACAGGTAGGAAGCAATTTTAATTATTTTCAAGAATGTCTTCTAATCTGAGCTGTGTGGAGGAAAGAGCCTAGACTTATTTTGGACAAGTCCCTGAGCCCCAATCTCCTTATATCTGAAATGGGGTCATAATATTTAATTTGTTGTGAGAAGTAGGGATAATGAACCTAAAATAGCCCCCAGTGGGTGCACCATAAGTCATGTGTGTTATCATTAACTTTTCATATGCAATCTAGTTCTTGCCTGCTGCGTCCCAAGGATGGAATAGGATCATTTGCAGCGGCTGGTTCTGAGCAGGTGGTATACTAAAAAATGTCAGATTAGCCTCCTCTACCCCCCACAGCTGTGGGTGCCACTGAATTTAGCACTTCCTCTTTCACTAGGGAGGAACTGCTATGGTTCTTAATTTATATTTCTGAGAATGTGTGGTTTTTAAGTGCAGCATCTTTGGTTGATTTGTTCTGCAGTTCTTGGAGTCCTGACAGTGTGGCCCCAGGGGATGGTCCAGAGCCGAAAAGATCCACCTAGAGGCAGGGCGCGAATCCAGAGAGGGGACAGATTCAGGATCTACTGGAGGACAGATTTCTGCATCACTGGCTTGAAAAACACTGAGAGAACAACGCACACAGGAGATCAGGGATCAAACCCCAGCGCTGCCCATGAGAACACCCGCGTGAAATGTGCATGCGGGCCTTGCCTGGGCCAGCTGCTGTGAAATTGACCAGTGGAAAGCTGGCCTTTGTATACATGTGGTCTTCTGAGTTTCCTTCAATGGCAGGTGATTAGCTGTGTATCCAGAGCACCTGAGTGTGTGTTTTCATGCTTGTTAAACAGTGTTCTGGAAAGCCATTCTTTACATTGTCCATGTACTCCTCCCATTATCTCCCGCTGACCCAGGTTCCAGGGTGAGCATTCTGAACCCTACATCTGTCCAAATCATGTTCCCTTGCATGGATAGAGCCCTTCAATGACTGCTTGTTGCCAAAAAAAAAAAAAAAAACCAAGAAATATCAGACATTAGCAAGGCCCCATGACGTGGCCTCTGCCTACCTCTCTGGTCTCTTTCTAGCTTTCCTCCTGCAATCTTGGTACTTGTAACACTGACCTTCCACCTAGAGTGACCTCCCTGCCCTCTCCCCCACCAGCCCCTGCCTTTTTCCTGGTTGGTTCTTACTCATCCTTAACAATGTGCTCAGACCGAATTTGCCCGAGGAGTCGAATTCTTCCAAGGAGCCTTCCCTCACTGCCCGTGCCCCAGGTTCTGAAGCTCTGGAGCAGAGCTGTCTGGGTTCACATTCTGGCTCTGTTCTTTACTCACTCCAAGATCCTTGGAAACTTTCTCTTCCAGGCCTCCATTCCTCATGTGCAAAATGGGAATATTCTTGGTATAATTCTTTTTATCATAGGGTTACTTGGGGCTTAAGGGAGTTAAATCAAGTGAGTTAAATTCAGGGCTTAAGGGAGCTTTTAGAACAGTGCCTGGCACCTGAGAGACCCTCAGTAAATGTTGGTGCTTATAAATTACAGGTATCTACTTGGACCACTGAGTTTCCCAAAGACAGTATACTTGGACCATTCACTTCTGTGTCCCTCTCCTCCGCCCAGAACTGCATTCTGTGGCTGTCTGTGGAATGTTTGCTGAAGTGACTGCTACAGAAAGAGAAGCATGATGTACCCAGACCACTGGTTCCTTCCAGGCCAGCCTGAATCACAGCCCCACAAGCTGTTGGCCACTAAGAACATAAACAAGAGGCTCCTCTGTTGGAGGAGCCTTGGACTCTGGCTGCGGACAGGAAGGCAGGGCAGCTCCATGGACAGTGCTGAGTGGGGACAGATGGGAAGCAGTGGGAAAGCTCTGCTCTGATCACTGCCTCCTTGGGAAAACTTCTCAGGGCTCTCCTGTGTTCCCAGAGGCAGAGGGAGGGCCACCCTGACTCTCAGAGAGGAGGCCAAGGGTCTGCATGCTCCCACTGGGATCTGCTATGATGGAGCACAGGCTGTGATGATGTTTACCCCTGTCTTTGCTCAGGACCCTGAGGCCTGAGGCTGGCATGTGCTCCCTGATCCAGGTGAGGCCAGAGCTATTCCTGCCCATCGGGGCTGAGAGGCTTGATGAGGACAGCCACTCATATCCTGCCCCCTTGGGAGGAGCTTTTCTCAAAATGTAGTTGGGATTCCCTGGGATCACTTTAGTTATAGCGTACATGGATGACAAAAATTGTAAATCTGTTAGTATTCTCTCTGATGGGAGACATTGCCTGGAGCCCAATCTGGGCCTCAACTTAATAATGGAGGACCCAATGACCTCAGCATCTGCTTTCTAACCCCACCCCACACCAGGATGACCTTCTGTGCTAATTCATATTTTCCATGGTGCAAACTTTTAATTCTATTTTTTTGTATTTCTGAAAGGTATGCTTGCATGATCCCTCAGTTCCTTTGGGCAAATAAACAACAAAGCAGCCCACCACCAAGGAAAACAGTGAATTATAATAATTGCCTTCAGGTAGACATTGAACGTGTGCCTGCTTTTGTGCATCAAACTGATTACCCTCAGGCTTCATCAGGGAATTTCAGGAGATGGCACAAAGTCTGTTGTGTAGTCACGGTCACGATTCTCCCCACTGTGGCCACACCATCGCCGTGTGTCACATGGCAAGGAGCGACTCGGCTTCCAGGAGTGCACTGGTGCTGGGTGCCTCCCCCTCACAAAGCACCATCTGACTGGGGGCGAGGCTGGCTCCTTTCTTACCTTTATTCCTTGGCCCAGGCTTTCCAGGGAATTAATATCCAGCCCCTCCTTGCAGGCCTGCAGGCAGGAAATCACCTTCTGACTATCCATTTTGCCAGGGCGGATGGTGAGACTGGCCAGGCTGCCGTGGAAGAATTGAGCAAAGCGTGGCTTGGTGACTTCTCCTCCTAAAAGATAAAGAAGCACCATTATCTGCCCTGTGGAGATTGGGCAGGCAACATTGCTTCATGGTGCCATCTGGCCACAGAGCCAAGGATCCAGTGGTTGTGTCCCTTAAACCCAAGTGTTTCCTTCCAAGAGGAGAGTGCAGAGTCGTGAACACAGAATGTCAAGAGGATGTTATTGGCTGCCAAGACCTTGGCACTCCCCAGCTGCACCTATTTAGGATTCTGGAATTCTTGAATTTAAAACAGTTACTTTCAGAGGCACAGAATGTTTTAAAACAGCGGTCCCCAAGCTTTCTGGCACCAGGAACCAGTTTTGTGGAAGACAATTTTTCCATGGAACAGAAGAGGGGGATGGTTTCAGGATGATTCAAGCACATTTCATTTATTGTGCCCTTTATTGTTATTGCATCAGCTCCACCTTGGATCATCAGGCATTAGATCCTTGGAGGCTGGGGACCCCTATTTTAGAAGACAGAAAGCGCCTACAGAGTAAAAGCAGGGGAGAGGGGATCTACCAGTGATGAAAGACGTGCTGCGTGCCAGGCTGTCCGCTGGGGACTGCATCTGGGTCAGACTGCAAAGAGGAATCATTGTTTCCAAATGACAGATAAGGAGCCCTGGGACTCAGAAAGGTGGAAGGATTTGCCCCAGGACATACAGCTAAATGCTGGAGCTGGTACTCTGGTTCTGGTCTGCGTGACTGCAGAGTGGCATCTGCTACCCTGTGTTCCTTTCACTGAGAGGCTGGTACGCGATTGACAGGTCCTAGGACCCTGAGTCCCTGGGCTCCGACTCGCAGAGAGTTGATTTCATATCTGCTCAAATCCAGGTTCTTTGTCATGCAGGGGCTTCCTTGATTCTGTTCCACCTCTGTACTTCCCCTCACCTACGTCCTTCTGCTGTCTGTGCCCCGGTCAGCTCTTCAGCTGGGGCAATTGTTCAATGTGGCTCGTGTTGCAAAGGCAGCCTGGAAGCTGCCTCCTCCCATTCCCTCCCTCATTTCCCAAAGTTCCTTAACATAGATGCCCCTTTAGGTCCAGTGGAAGCCTCACCTCCTCCAGGAGCCCCTTCCCACTGACTTCATTGAGCACAAACACTGTTCCATTCGGGGGCAGCCTACGTCAACAACCTGAGCTTTGATCTTGTACTTCAGTTCATTCAGAGAGGTAGCCAAATGTGCAGGAAAGATGGATCTGGGCAGAACTCCAGCTTTGCTAATTCCCCGTGGGAGGTTCTATAGCCTTTCTGAGCTTCCACTCACTTGTAGGGGACACTGCTGGGTTTTGCCTCCTGGTTCTCCTGTGCTGCCTCAGTGGCCCCCTCATCAGTTTCTCTAGCACCTGGAGGGCAGGTTTCTGGAAGGTTCTGCCAGAGTAACACCACGGTGACTTCTCTGCCCATGAGTGAGCCATGCTGTGTCAGCAAAGTCTGAACCTCAGCCTGGGTGGCAGAGGATCCTCCACTGGGGGCCCTGTCTCAGTCTTACAGGAGTGGGCATCCTGATACCTGCATTCCTATAGTCTTCAGAGTTCTCTCTTAGCAGCTAATCCTTCATTATTCTAGTGGTCCGTTATCGTCAGTGAGTTTTTATATTTTCTTGTTGAAATTACTGTGTGGTTTCTCTTTCTGATTGGGTCCAGACTGACACACCTTCTATGTTTGCACACATACTTTTGCTCTCACCCATTTTTCCCCATCCTGAGATACCACCTCCAAAGTGCTCAGGTCAGGAAGATCCCACAGGTTCTCCAAGACCCCTCAAGCTCCCAGCTCACCTTGCCTTCTCTCTGCCCTGAGCCTTGGAACACAGAGAATTCATTTCAGTCACCTCTAAGAACTCAGCATTGTTAGTTAATGCACGTGTGTTTCATGTCTTCAAGAGCCTATAAGGGGTGGTTGTCAGTTTCGGCTGCACATTTTAATCATCTGGGGAATCTTTAAAAGAATAAACTGATTCTGGTACTGTATCCCACCCACAGAGGTTATGACCTTTTTTAATAGAAGTATAGTTGATTTACAATGTCATGTTAGTTTCAAGTGTACAGCACAGTGACTCAGATATATATATATATATATATATATATATATATATATATATAAATGTTCCTTTTCAAGTTCTTTTCCCTTATAGGTTATTGTAAAATATTGAGTATAGTTCCCTTTGCAATACAGTAGGTCCTTGTTCATTTTATATATAGTTGTAGGTATATGTTAATCCCAACCTCCTAAATTATCCCTCCCCCGCACCTCTCTTTTCCCTTTGGTAACCATGTTTGTTTTCTATGTCTATGAGTCTCTTTCTTTTTTGTAAATAAGCTTATTTGTATCTTTTTTTAGGGTGCACATATAAACCATATTATATTTGTCTTTCTCTGACTTCCTTCACTTAGTATGATATCTCTAAGTCCACCCATGTTGCTGCAAAGTGGCATTATTTCATTCTTTTTTTGGCTGAGTAATATTCCATTATATGTGTGTGTGTGTGTGTGTGTGTGTGTTCAGTTCTTCAGTCATATTCAACTCTTTGTGACCTCATGACTGTAGCCCACCAGGCTTCTCTGTCTAGGGAATTTTCCATGGCAAGAATACTATAGCAGACAGGGGATCTTCCTGACTTAGGGATCTAATTTGTGTCTCTTGTGTCTCCTGTATTGGCAGGTGGATTCAAAGTCATATATATATGTCAAGGTTCAGAACCACTGGGCTATCAGCTTCTTGAGGCTGGGCTTCTGCTTACTCCTAAGTGATCTCTCTCCTTTATGCCACCTGGTGGCTTACTCTTGCCCATCCTCACACATTGCTAGAATTTATTTAAGTCTGTCTCCTGGTTGGAAGGGAGCAGTCATTCATGATTCATTGTAATGAAGACAATACTGGGCAGGTAGCAGGGGAACTGAGGACTGTCCCAGGTACTTTGCACATGTTGGTTCATTTATCCCTCTCAACAACATAAGCCACTGTCCCGGTGTCATTGGGCATGCTGTCTGGCACACAGTGGACACTTCCTAATTGTTGGCTGGATTGAAGGAGATGCTCCAGCAGAGTAGCTGACCTGTGGCATCTCTCCAGCGTCCACCTCACTCCTAATGCTATACATATATACATACATACATACATATATATATATATATAACTTTGAATTCACCTGCCAGTGCAGGAGGCACAAGAGACACAGGTTAGAGCTCTGAGTCAGGAAGATCCTCTAGTCAAAGCTGGGTTTCCCTGGTAGCTCAGCTGGTAAAGAATCCGCTTGCAATGCAGGAGACCTGGATTTGATCCCTGGGTTGGTAAGATCCCCTGGAAAAGGGAAAGGCTACCCACTCCAGTATTCTGGCCTAGAGAATTCCATGGACTGTATAGTCCATGGGGTTGCAAAGAGTTGGTCATGACTGGGCGACTTTCACTTTCAATCAGGCTGTTTTGTCTCCATTGCTCCAGTGACTGAATCAGGCATGGACTTGGGATTGGTCATACCAGGTGAAGCCAATCAGCACCTGACATACAAAAAGCCACAGGGGTTGGTCTAGGGATAACCAGAAGATCAAGTTTAAGCCAATGAGATGGCAGAGAAACTGGCTGGCAGCCTCTGGGTCAAGAGCTTCCATCTTCTCTCTAGAAGGCTTCTGGAACCTACTCTTGCTCTCTTTCCCTGGGGATCATTCTGTGAAGATAGAAGGCTGAGAGTGGCTGCAGCCATCCTGCAAGCAGACCAGGGACAACTAAGGCAATGCCTGGACCGGGGACAGAACCAGGAGGGTACAGCAGGCTGAGCGAATCCTGAGTAGACCTCCTCACTGCTTTACTGTGGGATATTTTCAGCTATGGGAGCCAAGCATCCATCTTTATGGGTTTAAGCTGTTTTGACTCAGGCTACCCAGAACATCTTCACATTGGAAATGAATGGACAAGGCTCTATCAAAGTGCTCTGTCCACAGGTTTGACTTTGAGAGATGACCTGAGGTGATCTCTCAGGCCATGGCTTTGGGTATGGGGGAGCCAATCTGGGGGTCTTTGGGTTTAGGCCCCTGAAGCCATCATGGTTAAGGTGCTCCTCACAGCCATTAGTATGCTCCTGCCCTACTGAAAGAACACTTCTGTTACCCTGCAGGAAGAAGGGTATGAGCCTGGATCTGATTGGTAGACTGCCACACTCCAGAGCATCCAGGTGGTTATCTCTTCCCTGACTTATCTCCCACATAGAGCAGCAGATCCCACAACAAGTCTCAGTGACTAGGCATGAACTCTGTGCCCAACGCTCTGTGAAGTCCTCAACATACATCATCTTATTGAACCTTCATAGAACTCTTGAGAGGTAGGCATTTCTGCTACAGTTAAAGAGGAATAATCTCAGGTTTAGAGAGAAGAAAGTGGCCAACGTCACTGAGGAGTAATTGGTGAAATGTGGGCTTCTAGAGAGTGAGTACATCCATCCATGCTCAGGACCAGCTGGTCATCCTGGTGGTACTGGGCAGCCCAGTCTAGAGTGTGGCTGGTACTATGGAGAAGAGCATGGGGATTCCTTAAAAAAACAAACAAACTAGGAATAAAACTACCATATGACCCAGCAATCCCACTACTGGGCATATACCCTGAGGAAACCATAACTGAAAAAAAAGACATGTACTCCAATGTTCACTGCAGCTCTATTTACAATGGCTAGGATGTGGAAGCAACCTAAATGTCCATCCACAGATGAACGGATAAAGAAGTTGTGGTACATATACACAATGGAATATTACTCAGCCATAAAAAGGAACACATTTGAGTCAGTTGTAGTGAGGTGGGTGTAGACTACACTGATGTAGTAGGTGTAGCGAAGAACCCAGAGCCTGTTATACAGAGTGAAGTAAGTCAGAAAGAGAAAGACAAATACCATAGAGTAATGCATGTATGTGGAATCTAGAAAAATGGTACTGATGAACCTATTTGCAGGGCAAGAATAGAGACACAGACATAGAGAACAGACTTGTAGACACAGTGGGGGAAGAAGAGGGTGGGAC